GCATCATCTGCTTTGGGTGGAAAAAGACCCTGCTCAGCTTCTGGTGCAAGGGAGAAAACCTCAGCAGTAAGTGTATTTATTACATTTTTTTGTAAAAGTATAGAGATGCTTTTTTTTTTACTCAGAAATATATCTAATATTAAATCAGCCTGCGATGTTAAGCACTAGCCCGAGGCAATTGCCCACCTAAAGTGGCACTGGGCTAGTAAAAAAGTTGAAATTTTATAAAGCACTAGCCCGAATGGGCTAGTTGTAATTTTGAACCTATTTAACACTCAGTAAGATTTCAAAAATATAAGTCGCCAGTCTTCTTTGTCCCTGCCTCTAATTTGACGTTTCTAGATGGTATGATATGCCTCTCAGTTGAAAAAAACTCACACCTAGCTCTAACTACTGAATATTGATTAGTTGCTATAAATAACTACACTGTAGTTATTTGTAGCAGCAGTCTGTCTGATCAGCGTGTTGGCATCTTTTTATTTGACTAGTTTGTTGTCATGACTACAAATTGCTGTCAATCAAGAAACTGGATCAGTCCAGAATTCCTTGGTACTAGCAACAGGTTCTTTGTCAAAACAACACTGTCTCCGTAAGTGTAATGTATACGTTATCTCATAGAACATTTGGGTTAGGACCACCTAGCAGACTGAGGGGTGGAGTATTCTATTTCCTTTTTTTTTATATTTTTTATTTATAATTTTAATATCCATGAGTAAATACATTTTCCTTTGCTTATTGCCTTTTAAAAACAATAAGACCCTGGCAGTTACATAAATACCCTATGAGCTATTCTTGACAATGTGGGATAGTTCAGTTTATGCCATGGCTACCCCTCCATGCTTTGTCCTGGTAATGAATTGAAAAGTTGTTTTTACAAATATATAACCAAAAGAATTGTAACCCAAAAAATTGTAAGGCAGTTTGTTTAATGACCCTTACATCACCTATGTATTTTAAATTAGAAGTGGCATTATACCGATGTAATTTGGAAATAAATTGTCAGAAAAGAGCCATTGTCAATAAAAAGAAAAGGAATAAACAAAAAAGTTTCTTATAAAAAATGGAAAAAAGGTATTATAAACATATGAAAAGTAAGGGTAACTATATTCAGCATTACAAATAAAAAAATTTTTTTTTCAATATTAAAAGAATTAAATATATTTTTAATTAATTTTACCACCCCATCAACTGGAAATTAACCTGATTGACTTTGTTATTCACTTGCTCTACTTCTATAATAAGGTTTATAAGAAAGTACAGTATAGTACCACAACTCTTAACAATATCTGCTTAAACTTTTTAAATGAATTATTTAAATTGAGCTAGTGTTTTTTGGTTCGGCTAGTAAAGTTTGAGAGTCTGCTAGCCCAAAGGGCTAGTAGTCTAAAAAGTTTTTGGCACAGACTGTTATTTGCAAGATTATCAGAAATGTGTGGAAATTACACCTACTTTTACCATTGTCAGAGTTTAGCTAATGGATTGGGCAGCAGTGGAAGCAGTTTGTCTGGAGGGGCCAAGAAGAAACATGCAAGAGGTAAAGCCAGGAATTATTATTATTATTATTGTTTCTTAGAAATATTAATATTAATGTTAATTTTGCAATATGATCTGTTATCTTTGAAAGCGATAATTTAAGTCATTGAATATTTGGAACATTATCAGCATTTTTTTATTCATATTTATATACCTGGTTAACAGATAGCTGAACAAGCAGATTTAAATTGTTGTGTTAAAAGACCACTGTATTCATATTTTCCAGGTAGCAGCTTTAATGCACCTTTAAGTCAAAGAAGTGATGATAAGTCTAGTACAGAAAAAACACCGAGGAAGCTAAAGCCTAGACTTTCATCAGGGTAGGTAATTTTTAGTTATTGCCACATTATTTTCTGTTTAGCAAAGAATCAGTTGTTCAAAACAACCACAAATGCTTAAAATTTATAATGGTTAATAAGGCAAATATAAATAAAATTGCTCACAGAGCAAAGACTTCGAAGTATAGGATGAAATACCAGATATTACAATGTAAAAAAGAAATAAGAATCCCCCTCCCCCTCCAGGGACAGCCCAACTACAGAAAATCCAAAGTGCCCATAAGGATCCCTAATTATAATTCTATCAGTACTGGAATTTCCTCACTCTAATGGTATAGGAGGAGATAGCAGATATTACAGTGTAAAAAGAATTAAGAATCAACAGACCCCTTGTTGCATTAAAAATCAAATCAGTTTATTCTGGGTTTGTCATCTATCAACAGAAAGTTTTGAGATGAAAATCTGTAAAATTGTGGCCTCTATCGCCGTACAGAAATTAAGCACAAACGACCAAAGCAGTAGACTTGCAAAAAATTTTAGCAAGTAAAAATGTGAATGCTTTAGAAGCAACCTGCCATAGCATGAGTTGAGTTGTTTCCATTTATATTGGATCTCTTTTGTTTCAGAGATGAGTTCTTAGCTCTCTTTGAGAATACCCAACCCAAGATAAAACAGGCCAGCAGCAAGGCAGGG